GAAGAACTTTTGGAACGATTACCTAGTCAATTAAATACTTTAAAAAAGCTTTGATTTTGTCACGAGAAAAGTGTGTGAATCACAAGGGGGCGAGTTTCAGGGACCTGCCAATTCACTATTTGACTTTGAAGGAAAGAAAAGCAGCGGAAACTGAATATTTAAATCTTTTAACTTTCCCATGGAATAACTTTTCTCAGAACCATTCCATGCGACTCTGAAGAATTTTGGATAATTGCTTACGGAGTGAAAACCGCAACAGGCAATAAAATGTTTGGAAATATGAGTAAATTAATATAATTATCCTTGCCGCACTCACATGCTTCAGTTGAGCGCGTTTTTTCCGTAATGAATTCAACAAAAACTAAGATTCGAAATAGGATGAGGTTGGAAAGCCTTAATTCAATAGTTCGAATACATATGTACATATGTATGTGTATATGCAATTTTGGCGTACAATTAATTTTACCCAGAATTTTATAAATTATTTAATTACACAAAAGTGGATTCTTATGGATGAATTAGTGCACCCATTATAATTTCCACTGTATTACATACATATGTTTGTACATATTTCCTATTCAATACATATCTAACAAGAATTAAACCACGTTTAATTAAGCATACAGAACTATTTACAGTGGGGCAGAAAACCTAAATTGTTATCCTTGTCTATTAGACACATAAAATCTTTTATTTCCGCACCACACAAAAACTAAATGTAGAGTAAATAGAAGCAGAAATATTTCATATCGAAAAATCAAACAAGGCCACAAAGATAAATCAAGGTCCACCTTCTTTGAGTTGATTTCATCTATAAGTTTTGGGCATTGAGAAGAAGAATATCGACATTCCTATAACTCAGAAACCCTGCTGCCCCGTTGTTGGTACCACTCATCCCTATAATACATAGCTCTCTTCTCCTGAGCGTGGATATGAATATGAAGAGTGGTAAGGAATAAATCTAGTATAGGAGAACTTTCAAGGATGCTGTTGGACAAGTTCTCGTTTTTTGAGTTATGCAAAGCTTGTTGATCATAATACTATATATGGATGAGTCGTAGATACTACTGACGTTTAAATCCATATGCGTATTTTTGGACTTCAACCCGAACTTTTTAACCCCTTTTTGATAAATAACGTAAAAAATACATATCTAACTCGTCTTTAGGTTTTAAATTTTGTGGTACTATAGTTCGCAGAGCTCGAAGATAACTAACTATTAACCAATTTAAATGTTCACATGAGAACACTTATCAAATGAGTAATACAACAGCGGTCGAATTGCCTTAAGTGCGAAGCGTAGAGTGTAATTGACGTCCGTAGCATGCACGTTAAACAGCAAAACAAAATTGGTGGGTAAAAAATTCGTACAAAATCCGTACGCACATATTTTGTTTGTACTTAGGTGAACACAGGAATCGTACTTTTAAATAACTTTCAAATAAAGCAACACATATTTCCACTAGTCATATTTGTTGATTGCTTCACAGACACCCCAATTATTTTTCTGACTAGAACTTTTTAACTAGCAGTGTGTTCTTAGCACAGTGTATACAGTGTGCCAAGTAATGACATTTAATTTTTTTCATATCAATATTTGACAATTGCTTGAGTGTCTTAGTTAAAATTTTGAAATTTGTTGTCACTTTCTTTAACCTTTTTGCTAGTTTGAACTTAACATTTTTTTGAAATCGTGAACTGAAGAAATTATTAACAAACAAGGAATTTTTAGCAAAAAAAAACCGACTTCAACTCTCATATAAAAAAATATATATATATATATATATATCTCATGATCCACTGATCGGATCTTAACGAGATTAGTATGAGACCACCTTTGAGACACTACCTTTCCGATGCAAAAAAAGAATTATCGAAATCGGTTGACGTGGTCAAAAAAATAAATAAAAATAAATACTAATTTGGTTTAGATCCGACCATTGAATCATGAAATATATAGATATGTATATATTTTTTTAAGTCGGTTTTTTTTTTGCTAAGAATTACTTGTTTATCGTTTAGGCAATTATCAAATTAATTCCATTTTGGTTTTTAACGAAAAGTGAGCTGGCAATGTTATACAACAGGAACTTCTCGTTGATTTACTTTGTTTCAATGTTAACGATGGGTGATTTATTTCGTTTCAACGTTAACGATTGAGTTCTGTTTCGTTAATTTAGCTCTGAAACGAAACGAAATTATTTTGATAAGTTATTTTTGCGCATCAACAAAAGGAAATCGAGTGTCAAAATGGCTTAGGTTGCAAGTTTTTACTAGTTTTGCGTTC